GGCGGATATGAGAGCCAGCGTTGGATCCAGTTGTCCAAGGACGTCTCATCAGGGAGCCCCCGACGACAAGTTGGGTCCACCGACACTGGCTTTCTCCGCACGGGAACTTTTTTGCATCAAACAAAGCGATTTTATCCTCCGTGAATCCGTTGAGTGCAGTCACCTCTTCTTCCCACTTGTGGAAAAAGCGCCGACCTCCGCATGCCTGTGCAAATGCTTTATCTATGCACCCAACGACAGCAGTACAGTCAGTACCAGCAGTGGACATATTGAATTCGTCCTTTCACTCCCTCGGTGTCATCTCCTTTACGGATGCTCACGTCAGAAAATGCCCGCTGCTCCTGTGTGGTTGGGGATACGCTTATTCGGGGGGATGTCGCGAGGACTGCATGTTACTACTGGTCAACCCTCCCTCAAATCGACCTCGAAAAAACTCTAGCGGATGTCCCGCTCTTCTTGAATCCTCGCCAGTGTCACCTGCGGTACTGCGTATGCTGTGTACATGTTCCGTGTCGAGCGTCTCGGGCAGGTGACGGGTGCTGTGTACGGCGCCATGCAAATGAATGCTGTGTATGGCGCTGGTACCCGTATTCTACCGCCGTACCATTGTATCTACCCGTCCATGTTCATATGACAATGACCATCAAGCATACTATTACCATTGATTGTCATATACCGTTGAAAATGCACATTATACTTATAAATAATGAAAATTGGATGCTGACCAGCAAGCCCCTATAGCGATAATAGTATAGGAGAGGAGCGCAGAGCTGAGCGATGCTGCCCGGGGTTTCACAATGTATGCTGGCGTGCACAGGGCTCCCCGGGGCGCGTTTCTAGCTACCCTTTGCAACCCACTTTCATCACGCCCCCGCGACGACCACCTGAGGGTTAAGCTGGCCTCTTCGCCAGGCGCGCCAACACCATCACAAGGGAGGTCATGTGCCAGGGTAGAGCGAGTTGCATTCTCGGTGAGTCCTTTTGTCGTGACTTCGCGAGGGCAGCAACCCGGGGTGGTTCCGAGCCGATTTCCGACTACCCTCCACGTCGCATGCGGGTCTGTGTCGCTGAAGAGGAGGAGTTTCCTGCCGTCGCATGTGTCGATAGTCCATGTCTGAGGCTCTCTTGGATAGAAATCCGTTTAGAAGATGGACTTGTGTCCGTAGACACCTCGCCAAAAATGCGGACCAAAAATCTCACCGTCGTGGGAGCACCGCGAGGAAGGGTTACACCAGCAGGTGTTCTTGAAAACTAGAAACTGCCCAGGCTCGGATCACACACCCCGACCACCAACGCGCGCCACGCCAGAGCACGTCAGTTGCGAAAAAAAAAAAGTTGTGGCTTCCACCATGCCGTCGGGATCATCTTAATGCTATGGGTATCTGAGACTACTCTATTTTTAGCACAAAACCGAGCTGTCCACTTTCGCCGCCGCTGCTANGACCACCAACGCGCGCCACGCCAGAGCACGTCAGTTGCGAAAAAAAAAAAGTTGTGGCTTCCACCATGCCGTCGGGATCATCTTAATGCTATGGGTATCTGAGACTACTCTATTTTTAGCACAAAACCGAGCTGTCCACTTTCGCCGCCGCTGCTACAAGTAGTAGCAGTAGCGTCTGTTGTGTTTTGTATCGTTGGGACTGGTTCGCAACACGTGCCTTGGTGAGCATAGTACCTGCCAGCCCTCTTGTAGAAGTGGTTTCTCACATAAGTCCTCTATTCCAAAACATCCATGGAGACTCGTGGTCACAAGGTACGGCACCCTCGACACCGCGAAGAAATAAAAAAAACAAATGTATGTAGGCTACCGTATATGACACAAGATAACACACCCCCTGGACGGATTTTCAAAGCTCGATTACTCCACGACGAAGAGGATGCATAAACGAAATAATACATTTTCGAAAAGCTATGAACGAGACGGTTTCAACGCCGCCGTTTTCGGCGCTGTGACTATTCCTGCAGTTGAGAAATCGAGCTTCGGAAATCGGTCAAGGGGGTGTGTTATCTTGTGTCATATACGGTACATACCACTCAGAGTGGAAGACAAGGCAAGAAAAAGGAGGTAACGTGGCCCAGCCCTGTCTGTTCCTGGTACGGTGGTTCCTATTTGTGGTTTGGCGGCGGCTTCACGATTAGTGTGGAAATAGTTATGAAGGCTCTCGTAAGGTGCAGAAGCGCAGCAGACCCATGTCGTCTCCAACAAAAAATATGAAGTCTTTCATCAAACAGGGGCTTATTTTTTGTTTTGTTTCTTTCCCCTTGCCCCCACCCAGAGGTGCGCCGGGATAGATTGGATGCGAAACGTCATTTTCGGCGAGGGCAACGAAGGAGAAACCTCGTCACCAGTCAGGATTATTACGAGGTATTTTACGGTGATAATTAATCGCGGAAAGTGTGGGTGGTGTCAATCGTGGTGTTGTTATCCATGACACAATGCTTGTTGCTCTCCGTATTCATTCTCTTGTAAGCCTTGTTCCTCACGTTTACCCATCTCTCAATACCCAGCACTATGGCCATCGGCGTATAGACTCGTCTACACGACAGCAGTAGTCGTCATGTCATCGCGCCGTTCGTAACGCTCTGTGCCCTCATGTCTCGCACACTGGGCAGGCGACCGGCGAGGAGAAAGAGGACAGCAATGATGCAGGAACACATCGCGAGATGCATCCAGCGCGCAAGAGTAACTTGAAGCCTCTTGGCTGTTAGCGTCACATTAGTCGCAGCATTGAATACCTTTGTAGTCGTGCCATCCCTTGTTTGTTCTGCTGTGTGTTACTCCATTCGTTACGAACGATCGGTGTGTCGCCCTGTTCATATTCCGACGTCATTGCCGCGAAGAAAGGTGAACGCTCCAGACCGTCCAAAAGAGAACAGATTGCGTTGGAGTCTTATAGTTTCCTTGTTGTGCTTTCGAATGCTGTTGGGTGCAAGGGCGCCGAGAGGACTCCGACGAGGAGGAGGATGACGACGACGTGGAGGATTCGGACGAAGAGGCGGAGCGCGACAAGGATGCAGTCCGTGAGATGCATGAAGCCCCCAGAGGATTCGGTGATATTACAGTGAGAACGGGTGTGCATATATATCGTTGCCTGCTCGCAATTTCAGACATGGTACCTGCCAATGCTTCCAGTTGGCGTGAACTCGCATAGTCAGACCAGCATTTGTTGTTTTCTTGAGCCTATCATCACCATCGCATTGAGGGCCTAGTTGGAACAAACTTTTCACCCGCATCATTGTTGTGGGTTTGTCCGCGACCGTCTCTGTGACGATGAGGCAGGATGTCGAAGGGCTTGTGTGTCATTTCCGCACCCGTGTGTGAAGCAGTCAAACTTCCACTCTCCATGTGTACGTTCCAGCGATGATTCGAGGTTTGAGAGAGCGCGTCGTGTGTTTGATTCTGGGAAGGTGGTGTGTTGGAGCTACAACCACCCTCGGCGCTTAGGTTTAGAGTTAACCTTTCCGATTTTTTTTATTTCACTTGTATTTCACGGCCATGTAACTGAGGTACTCTCCCCGTGCCCGCGCTCCTCTTCGACCGCCCCCCATTCCCTCTCGTTAATGCAGGAGTTGTACAAGGTGTACGTCAAAGAGCGTAAGAATTCCGTGGCCGTGGAGCTCTCGCACCCCAGTGAAATATATCAGACCTCAAGACCGCGCGGGCAAGTCTGGTACTACATCGCCGGGTGGGCGGCCAGCAAGGCTTTGACGCATCAAGACACAATCTTTCCCAGGATTGGGTGCGTGTCATCCAACACAACACTCGCCGGTCCAGTCGGGAGGCGATATTTACTAATGTCATGCTGAGAGATTTCGTAGCGGGAGAACGACCTGAAGAACGGTCCAGGACTTCTTTACCCGACGATGGATTGGGTAGAGTTTGTGTATGCCGTGGAGAGGGGCACTCTNCAAGGTGTACGTCAAAGAGCGTAAGAATTCCGTGGCCGTGGAGCTCTCGCACCCCAGTGAAATATATCAGACCTCAAGACCGCGCGGGCAAGTCTGGTACTACATCGCCGGGTGGGCGGCCAGCAAGGCTTTGACGCATCAAGACACAATCTTTCCCAGGATTGGGTGCGTGTCATCCAACACAACACTCGCCGGTCCAGTCGGGAGGCGATATTTACTAATGTCATGCTGAGAGATTTCGTAGCGGGAGAACGACCTGAAGAACGGTCCAGGACTTCTTTACCCGACGATGGATTGGGTAGAGTTTGTGTATGCCGTGGAGAGGGGCACTCTCCATTTTCTGAAAAACCTTATCTTCCTTGCTGCTTGCCTTGGGGACTTGCCAGCCAAGATTTTCAAAGTTGTAAGCGAGGCGGAGGTCGAAAAGGAAATGTGGGGAAACTGCTGTCCACCTGGTCCTCCCGCCATCGACCCTAGCGTATCCCAGGAGATGTTTCTTTTCGAAGTCGGGAAGATCCTTGACGTGCGAGTGGGTGACTACGCGAAGAGTGTAACGGAGAATACTTCCGTCAAGTTCACGAAGGCCGCGCTTGGTTTACGGCAACAGCTAAACGCACAGGTCAACACAAAGGGACGGGCGGGTGGAGGGGCCGGTAGTGGCGGAGCAGAGGGAGGTGTACAGGGGGACAGGGCCGCTGGAGGGGGTAAGGGGGACCTTGCTAAGCGCCGAAAGGGGGGGGGGATGTCCGGGGCAGAGATTAGGGACAGATGCACTACAAAACAACTTGTCGTGCTCACGAAAGCCGCAGAGATTCCGAAGGGCACTGTAAACTCAAGAAAAGAGGATCTCCTCGATTATCTGGAGACGTTTGTGTGTGGGTTCAGGCAGGAACCGGTTGGAGGGGCAGGCCCCAACGTGACGGGGACTGGGCTAGCC